GTAGGGGTACAAGTACCCCTTACTCATTCACAAGGGGGGCCACATCTGGGTGCCCCTTTATTAAATGTGAATAAGCCCCCCTGCCGGCACCCCCACAACCAACGCTACAAGACGTAAAGGGTCTGGTTTCTTTAAAAAATATATTATTTTCCTAACTTTTTACGTTTCTACTTTTTTTACATTTATTTGAATGTTTTTTAAACATTTTGTAAAATTTATCTATGTTTTTTTCTATTCTGCTCGCTACCTCGGAGGTAGCGAGCAGAATAGCCAAGCCGAATGTCGGCGGCATTTGGCTATTCACTCGTTGCCGTTCGGCCCCTATGAGAATAGGTGGGAACGGCAACGAGTGAGCTGCTGGAGCTTCATCTCAGTCGATCCAGATGTTGGATTGGCTGAGTCGAACTCCTTCTGCACATTTCGGCTCAGCTGAACATGCAGAGCATGTTCGGCCGACCGAAGGCAGCTGAAGGCAGCCGATGTACGGCTTATTTTAGCTGATGTACAGCTGAAATCGGCCATACAGGGCTGAAGTGAATAGCCGAACAGAGTTCAGCTCACTTCACTTTGGCCCATTTTCTCACATTGTTGCCTCCGGAAGCTTTGTAAATAACCCCCTGAATCAACACTGAGACTTTGCTGATTCATTGTTCAGTTATCAGGTAGGTAATATAAAAAGCTACAATGCTGCAGTCTCGCTGCCTAGTTGTGCAGTTGGCACAAATCCATTGACAGGTAAAGTATTAGTATACGTATTTCATTTTCTTTCACTGTGCTTTTGAAAACTTAAAGCAAACCTATCATGAGAGCATTGCAGACCCTCTGACCCTCTCAGACTTGACTTCCCTCTAACTTCAACTGATGCATGCCTGCTCTGGGTTAGTGACACAGAAATTGACACAGCAATTTACATTTTCAAGAGGTGACTGTGTGTGGCCAACATTCTACAAATTAGTGCAAACTAAAAGGCTGTCTTCATTTACCAATATATATTTGTCTATTTTATATAACTGTCCATTATAAACATTGGTTTTCCGTACCATAATATTTAATCTTATTTTGCAGTTGTTGTTGAGAAGTCATCCCCTCCTGTACCTGTCGAAATAGCTCCAGATGTCTCAAAGGCAAGTGCCAGTCAAGTTATTGCTCCAACTCAGGTAACAGGTAAGTAAAAATTGTAAATCAAAAATCTTTGAATTTTTAATAATATATAGATATAGATATTAAAACAATATTTTAACAAACGACTGAAGATTTCAATATCTCATACTAACAGTTACATTTCCTAAATTAGAAGTGATATTATCATCTTCTGTGCACTTTAGTAAAGCAGTCCAAGCATCTTAAAACATTTATATTTACTTAAAGTACAACACCCTTTTGTTGGAGGGTTTTATTGAAAACACATTTTTATTTAATTTCTCTTCCCTTGAAATCCAAACTCATGCAATGATTATGACAAATGCTCCAATGGGTGCCACAGCTACATATAATTTTACAGGACTATGTTGGATGACATTGGCTTGTTCTGAGTAGTTAAGAAATCCGTAGGAAGCCTATAACACCCTATTGATCATGATCCATGTGTTACATTTTTGTGTATTGTTGAGTCATCTTAGTTAGACTGCCAAATAAATGTGTTCTGTTTGGCTGTGTTTTATATAAATGCAGCACAGAAATGTGTGACAACTAAGCATCTCATACAATTAAAAGCCATCCATAATTTAAAAAAAGTATTTAACTTGCAAATGAGCTTCACTAAGCAAATGGAAAATTCCATTGCCAAGTAAACAGCCTATTTGCCTATGTGCCTTTAGTAAATCAACCCCAATATGTAAAAGCTGAACTCTAAGAATAAATGTGTTTAGTCATGAAATACCATAAGCATTTTTACAGAGGTTATATTTCATTATGCAGCTTTAACCTTTCCTTGTTGTTTAATTTTGCAGAAGTCAACGAGTGTGTAGTGGATCCTGATATCTGTGGGGAAGGCTTCTGTGTCAATCTACCGATTGGATACCTGTGTGTCTGTCATGAAGGGTATAAGCGTAATGACAATCAGACCAAATGTGTGGGTAAGACCTATCTACAATCACTGCATCTTCTAAATGGTATTGTATTTCATTATTGTAAAGTTTAACATGCAAACATTACAGTTAATGTGTACCTAGACAACAGTTAAAGGTATGTCTAGTAAAATTGAACATTAAACCTTGATAAGCATACAGGTAGCATAATGTATCTGTTAAGTAGTTTAGATTTAATGCAGACATTGCTGTTCTTCACTAGTGAATACATCTTTCTTTTTTCTGTAATCTGGTGATCCTGGAATGTGCCTCTTGTGATGTACCCCCTTTGCTGCTTCTCACACTCCTCAAAAGGATGAATGTGATGGTTGATGCAGGAAACAGAAAAAGAACATTACACAGCCCTGGATGTGCATTCCCCCTGCCCTCATACTGACCCTGTAGAGAGCTGTATGTCCTTTTTTTTCTGTAGGAAAAAGGTACACAAATTTGTAAATTGACTAAACTTTTTTGGTCATAGCACAATTGCTGTAATTACTGGATAAAACTAGCCGAAGCCGATAATAACCGAGCAGAAGTAAAGTGAGCCATACGCTGTTCGTCTATTCACTTCAGCCTTGTACGGCTGATTTCAGCTTTACATCGGCTAAAATCAGCCGTACATCGGCTGCCTTTGGTCAGCCGAACATGCTCTGGATGTTCGGCTGAGCTGAAGTGCAGAAGGACCTCGACTCAGCCAGTCCAATATCTGGATCGGCTGAGCCAAAGCTCCGGCAGCTCACTCGCTGCCATTCGCCCCTATTCTCATAGGGGCCGAATGGCAGTAAGTGAATAGCCAAATGCCTACAAGGTATCGAGCAGAATAGAAAAAAAAGTTAAAAAATAATTTAAAAAATAGGAAAAAGTAAAAAAGAAAATATATTTTAAAGAAGAAATCATTTTAAAAAATGACGCATACCGACCCGACCGCATGCGGTGGACTGCTGCCGCATAATGAAGCATCTGACAGATGCCGGCAAAATATGACATGTCAGCCGGGGTTTACGCATTTCTGGGACCATGCCCCCTTCCTCAAAACCTAGAAATGTGTAAACCCAGGCTGACATGCAGTCAGAAGGATCTCCTGCTCCAGGCTGCTGAGCTCAAGCCCTGTAGTTCTGGTTATTTTTTCTAACGCTGATAAAACTTCTACACAAGGGAGGCGCACTGTTTTTATGTTCCCTGATCTCATGTATTATGTCTGTAGTTTTGGCTGTATTTTGTGCAATAATTTGCTGATGTCAGGGGATGCATTTGAGACCTTTGTAAATTGACCACCACTGTAGTAAATTAAGCTTTTTGAAATTGCAATGTTTGAAAATCTCGTAGGCATTACAGTTCATGACACGACAGTTCATGACATCATGGCACTTCCATTAAAATACCATGAAAAGATATACCTACCCTTGAGCATAAAAAAAAAAAATCTGTCATATGAGAAACTTGGAGGTTAAATCATGCTACTCTCCTGAAAATGCTAATTTTCTGGCTGTTATTTTGATCCTCTTTGCTTCAATACTTTTTCATTGGAACACGTATGCAGACTTTTGACTTTTCAGTAACTTTTAATATTCTTTATATTTTTTTTCAGTAACTTTTTATATGCTTTATATTTCTTTCTGGGTCATTGACTCAAACTCTGTATTCTTCTCTCTTGATTGGTTCACTTTAAATACCATTTCCCATAGCATATTAGCCCAAATAAACGAGATACTGCCAAATGTGCCGATGATAAAAGTGTTTTGATGTGTTTATCTAATTTGATAGAAATCTATGTCTTTTGTTTAGATATCGATGAGTGCTCACAAAATCGCGGTCTCTGCTCACAGGGGCGCTGTGAAAATACAGATGGAAGTTTTCTATGTATTTGTCAAGCAGGATACATGGCCAATGAACAGGGAACTGACTGCACTGGTATGTATCCTGGATTCAAGGAATAGTTAGCAAAAGCACCCTTATATTGCACTGGAATATACTGTTAGCAAAGGCTGAGACTTCCAGTAAGCCAAAGAAACCTTATCTGTATCTGCAACATGCTCTTACCTCCTGCTGCTGTAGGATCAGACTTCAGAAAACGAAACATATATACTATATGTACAGTACTGTATATACATACTGTATATACTGTATATACTGTATATATATATATATATATATAGTACATACAGTATATACAGTATATATATATATATATACAGTAATGTGCAAACGTTTTAGGCAGGTGTGAAAAAATGGTGTAAAATAAGAAAGCTTTTAGAAATAAAAGTGTTAATAGTTTAATTTTTTCAATTAACAAAATGGAAAGTAAATAAACAGAAGAGAAATCCACATCGAATCAGACTCGATGATGCTGAGATAAGGGCTCTGTGGGGGCCAAACCATCACTTCTTAATGACATTGGCTGTATGTTTGGGGTCGTTTCCCTGCTGCAGAATAAATTGGGGCCAATCACACGCCTCCTTGATGGTATGGCATGATGGATAAGTATCTGCTTGTATTTCTCAGCATTGAGGACACCATTGATCCTGACCAAATCTCCAACTCCATTTGCAGAAATGCAGTTCCAGACCCAAGGAACCTCCACCATGCTTCACTGTTGCCTGCAGACACACAATATTGTAGCGCTCTTCAGCAAACCAACCGCCTCCTGCTACAGCCAAATATTTCAGATTTTGACTCATCACTCCAGAGCACCTGCTCGCAGTATAACTACCTTGTGTCTTGTTGCTGTGCTCAGTCTTGCCATGGTGTAGGACCTGTCTCATAAAACTGTCTTCCACAACCTCACCTCAGTAGCAGAGTTTGGCTGTTCCTCGCCCAATTTTAAGCCTCCTGCATAGCTGTTTCTGTTTCAGTTAATAACTGTGTTTCAACCTACATAGGAATTTAATGATAATTAGCAGTTGCATGGTATAAATGGTTAATCATTCTCCTGACTCACTTTGCGTTTTGTAAATTGATTAAAAAAAACAATAAAAATATATATTATTAAAAGAATAATGAGAAATAACATTTTAGAGGGTGTTTTGTATAGAATGCCCCAGGTTGCCATATTGCAACAATGCAACATTTTGAATTTTTTCATCTCAAAAAATGAAAGTATATGGTCATTAAATTCCAGTACGGTTTGTATAGCACATATATACAATGTTAATGATGTATAACTTTCATTGGCTTTAGATGTAAATGAATGTTTGAGACCAGATGTATGTCCAGATGGCCTCTGTATTAACACTGCCGGCTCTTTCCGATGTGAATACTGTGACAGTGGCTTGCGCATGAACAGGAGAGGGCAATGTGAAGGTAAGTAGAATATTGTGAAATTAGTCACCACTTTCTGCTTTGGCCGTACAAATACATGCAACATTGCTACTTTGACCTTCTCAAGTGGAACATCTATTCATTGATTTGAAAGGCTTGCATTTTATGAATAAATAAAATAAAAGCATTCCGGGGGGTGAGGGGGCGGGGGGTCTGATGCATGGATAGAGGCTAGTTCCCCCATACTGAAACAACATGGGCCATATTTACTAAAGAAAATGCATGTATGCCGTTGCATAGTGATGTGCCAACAGAACCTTTTGAACATCCAAAGTTTATCTTCACAGTATTTACTATTTGCACGTGATGCTCGTGATGATGGGCTCAACTGTGAAAGTGTACACATGACTTACTAACGAAAAAATGTTGTGATTTGCTAATCAGCCCACGCTCCAGCTTCCAGTTGAACGTTAGGGGCTATATTACATCTGTTAGCTTTTTTTGCATTTGCAATTCATGCAGAAACAATACCAATATGAGGTGCATACTGATAGAATTGAAGCTGTGGGGATATTACTCAGAATAACTGCTGAACTCATAAAACATCAAAGAAGAACTATGACCTGCCATCTACATTTGCAGTTTTCTCTTAGTCCCACTGTGAAGGCCCAACAAATACCCATCGATCCTCCCAGTGAAAAGCACGTGCGCATGATTTCAGATGTTGCAGCTCACAATTTAATGCTGTAATGATGCCTTATTTTCTCAGTGTAAAAGGAAAACTCAGTGTACACTTGGTGACCTATTGCGGCGCCTATTAGCTTGTATGTACTAGCTGCTTGCTATAGAAAAGTGTTATCATTCCTTTTTTCACTTTTACAATATTTGTTATGCCTACCTTGAAATAAATGATAAACAAGAAGTGAATGCATTTCACCTATTCATTGATCTATGCTAAATAAGCATATGACAGGTACCGCAGATAAGTTGAAAATTACTCTTTGAAATGTAAGATCTCAGGGTTCCTTCATGATTGCAATCTTGACCTAACTTGTTGGAAGCTGAAGATTATCCTTGCAAGTTGCAACATTCTCAGATCTGCCGAATGGCAAATGTCACTGTGACTGAACTTTGCATGTGAAGTTTCAGTACTTGTTTACTATATGCCACAGGGATCACAACTACTTTAGGCTCTTTAGAACATTTTTATATGTATTTTGCATAGCAAAGTTACTAGGTTAATCATTTATCAGCAGTTTAAATATATGCATAATAAACCTTATTTAGAATCAATACTGTTGCCTAGATTATAATATTAAAAATGGCTTTTAAAGGATTGCCCACCTTCATTTAATGGAACATTGTAGAATTCTATTTTATATTATCTTTTAATACTGGTGCATAATTGCCAGGCTGCTGAAAACACTGCAAAACAAGAAAAGAGGGGACGGCGTCCACTCCTAGTGTAAAAAGGTTTTTTAATAGTAAATGGAATGCACATACTCTAACAAGTACCTACTCGCATTTCGATGAACAGTAAATGGCACACATAAATCACAAGACTACCAGAAGGCTGACGCGTTTCGGGGCTGATTCCCCCTTCCTCAGAGCCAATCAGTTATCAAAGAGCATACAAATATATATATATATATATATATATAAAATCAATCAGTACCTAGGCCAATGGGGAGTGTGTGGCAATCCATTCAGAAAAGCTATACAATGAAACAAAGTTCTATTCCTTAAAGTGTCACTAAACTCAGGAGTTATATGCATTCAAGTACCCTAACTATTAACAAAAATGTAGCTTATTTGTGTATCACTCAGCTGACACTGTCCTTTCTTCTGGAGGGTGGCTACTTTTGTTCCCTTTGGTCCCAGTGTTTGTTGCAAAGTAGCCAACTCCCCAAGCTCATCCCTGTGATGGACTACAATCTCAATACAAATTAGTAAACTAAATATGAGATTGTAGTCCATCACGGGAGCGAGTTTGGAGTGGTGTCTACTTTGGAACACAAACAGGGACCATGGGGAACAAAAGTAGATACCCTCCAGAAGGGAGGACAGTGTCAGCACAAATTCAGAGATCATTTGAGGATCTACAGCTGAGTGAAACACAAATAAGATACAATTTTGTTAATAGGGTACTTGAATGCATGTTTAAGATTTAACTCATGAGTTAGAGTGTCACTTTAAAATAGAGTGATAATGTTAATTACATTCACTTGATCACAGTTAATTGTCAATAAAGTTTTACAGATACTAGATTCTATTTAATGTCCTTCATGCAAAGTTAGCAGAGATAGTACAATAAAATTAACTATAAATACTATTGTAGTATATGGCCTAGCCACAGTACATAGCTAAAATGTATTTATTTTGTTCTTGTGGCACCGACACAAGACCATTAAGCTGCTATTCTATTGGCCACTAATGCCTATCTAGCAGTATTTTCAACTCTCTAATTGGTGTAACTTTAAGGCCCATCAGGATCATTCCAGAACCTGTCCAATTCTCCATGATTATGCCCATATTTCAATAAAACTATAGCTCTCCTTAGTTATAATCCTTTATGGCAATGTAGAATATGGACAGTCCCAGCAAAAGTGATAGAATGTACTATGATGTTGACTTGTTTGGCTATGTTTTAAATAGATGGCATTTACATTGAATATAAATGCCATCTAAATGTTATTGAATGTTGTACGTTTTCCAATCTTTTCAGTTGGAACAAGTATTTAAGTTTTCTTAGCTTTCTAAAGTAATGCCTGGTAACATTTAATTAGTTCTTTTAAATACAGTATTATAATTCAGCTTGACTTTTTTTTAACAGATATCGATGAATGTCTGATTCCCACTACTTGTCCATATGACAGATGTGTCAATAGCCCAGGATCTTATGCATGTGTACCTTGTCCTGAAGGGTATAGAGGATTAAATGGCAGATGCTTAGGTAAGTTTGCTTTCATGGTACGTGTATGTAAATTAGAAAGGTTAGAACATTTACTATGTCCACATCTAAGCATTTGCCAAAAGAGAGATAACGATAACACAATAAGCCCTTTTAGCTACAAACTGGTTTTGGTTCTATAATTTCTTAAGTCAAGTTTTCTTAAAATATTATTAATAATAATAATAATTTTGTATAGAAAATAGTTTTACTGCATTTGGTGAGGGTTTACCACATATTTACAAAATAAATATTACATTTTTCAGGTCTGTCAGTGATGTAAAAAAGTTATAGTTGAGCTGTCATACACAGGAATGGATAGTAGTATGTGTAAAGTCTTTCAATTCCAGGGGGAAATGTAGTGTCTTCCTGGCTCTTGAAGCTAGGGGTATATCCTGATGTTGCATTCTCTACTTTGGTGCTCAGAGCTTCTCACATTTCTATTACTACTCCTTTCTCACAGCAGTGCCACCTTGCCCTACCCCAGTACACTTTACCCTACCCAACATCCTTAACATAAATCCTCCACTGTTTTAGCATCTTGTCAGTGCTATGAGGTTCTCTAATTCCTCTGTTCACAAAGCCATCCCTAACACTTAAGCTGATGTCAGATGGGCGATTGTGCTGATAGTGACAAATTGTCAACATCCGGATGGCTAAGAGACTGCCTGTCTGTCCCTATTAAATCGCTTCCTCACTAACTGAGGTCATGAGATGTCACTCCCATAATTAGTGTTCTATATTTAGCAGCATTCAGGGCCAGCAAGGGAGTGTTTCCATAGAGGTAAGTTTAAGCCACTCTGCCAGTGGCTATTTACCGCTACCTGCAGAGTCACACACCTGATATTATCCTTAACCCTTTCACTGCCAGAGCACACAAGTTAAAATGCACACTTTGGGCCTGAAAATTATTTATACCTCCCCAACACGTTATATATTTTCTATAAGCAGAGGCCCTATAGAATAAAATGGTGGCTGTTGCAATTTTTTAAGCCACATGATATTAGCACAACTGTTTATCAAAAATAGATTCAAATTAATCTTAGGCATAGGCAAGGCTTTAATAGCCTTTACAGCCTATTGGTTCAGTGTTAACCATGAATGATGGCCCTAGACCTATTGCTCTCAATCCGGCATGCGCAGCAATACCTAAAATATGTGACGCAATTGTTGTTTTCATACGTGATTGCACCCAATGCACTTTTGCTTACATATGGTAATGTATGTGGGAGCATACATGCCCAGACCTCACAGACTGTACTCCAATAGCTCCTTCCCCAGGAGAATGACAGCCCTGAACCCAGAAGCTGTTCGCTTTCAGGTTCATCACAGCAAAGGGAGATCATTGATGTTAGCTGGGCTCCCCCCAACCTCCCCACTGACATGGACATCTTGGGCACCCAGGAGTTACCACACACATGGAAGTGATGAGACATCTGTAAAAAAAGAAAAAAAAGTTCACAGTTAACCAAGAACATATATACAAACTCAGTAGTCGGGATTATGTATACATGTTGTCACTGCTGCCAAGGTATGGCATGCGTCGGTGGCAGTGAAATAGTTAACCTTTGCTCAGACTATGCTAACTAAAGCATTTAACTACCCTAAGCAAGCAAAACTTAACACAAGCGCCAGCAGCATGTATCCGGGATGAAAGGAAAGGAGAAAATCTTCAATGGTAATGTGTTACACTTTCGAGGCTGCTCTCACTTGGTTTAGGGAAACCTCAAAGCTGAAATACAAAAAACAGAGAGCGCCTCCATCGCGTAAAAACTTTTTAATAAAACAGGATAAAAACAGCTGAAATGGTACTCACAAAAGTAGAGTTTTAGCAGACATGAAAATCGTATGTGATAGACTTAGTCAGCCGGCTATCAGTCCTTCCTGGTTGACGCGTTTCTGAGGTCACGCCTCCTTCATCAGAACCGGCTGGCTAAGTCTATCACATACAATTTTTCATGTTATGCTAAAACTCTACTCTTGTGAGTATCATTTCAGGTGTTTTTATCCATTTTCATTAAAAATCTTTTTACGCAATGGAGCCAGTCTCTGTGTTTTTTATTACCCTAGGCAAGCACTAAAAGCACTTTCAAACAAGCCCTCATTTACCTCTGTAGTTATATGCATCATGGGCAAGGTCATCTTCAAAGGCACCAGAAATTATTGTTTTCTATTACTTTCTGTTGCACCAAAATCTTGGCAAACCTGAGCTCATCCCAACTCTTGACAGAGTCAATTTAAAACTCTTTAATTGCCTTTTAAGAACATTTGAATATTTTAATGTGCATAGCCTGGGCACAAGAGCACTTTCCAAGCCTGTAATCGGAGAGACATTGATAGCAATAGGATTGTGTGAAGTCCATAGCTCTAAAAACAGTGTGAGTTTAGGGTTGGTATAGATCTTTTCTGTAAAAAAAATAGAAATGAAGGGTTACAACATGGGCCTCTTCTTTTACTACGGTAGGAACTTCCACGTCTAAATTCAGGCTGCATTACTGTTCCATGGTTGGCTACATTCTTTTAAGCGCATGGTTTTGCCAGTTATTAAAAGCCTCACTAAAAAATAGTTATCCAGATTATAGGCTTATAAATAGCAAGAGGGGCATATGAAGGGCAGTTTAGTGATGGGTACAAAACAGTAGGCTTTAACAACTAGCAAGGGGAACCTTATTTAAAACCTGTACTTGTAAGCACATAATAAAAGCAGAGGTCTCAAGAGCATACACTTTTAAATATATGCAGAAGTTACATGGAGCTGTTGTAGAAGCTCTGTAAGTGGGCAGAAACTACAGGGGTATCTACAGTATGTTCCTACATATACAGAAAATAATAGAACATCAGAATGTTAGCTCAGCCCTTTAAAAAAGAATTATAAGAGTACTATAAGAACAGACCTACTCAGAGCAGCTGTTAAAGTCTCATGCATGTTATTCTTTACTGGAAATCACTAAATGTAAACTTTATTACGCATCAGTTAAGTGAATAAACATAGGCATCATTATTCATTTTCTATGATTAATGGCTCAGAAAATATGTAAATTCTAAGCAGATTCAATATGCAGATAGAATGAGTATTGTCGGTATTATGCTGCACTGTTAATGCAATTCCATCAAGTCTGCACAATTTTACCTTTTCTTTCTCCACTTATTTGCGTTTGCTCTATTTTTGTAGACATCAATGAATGCCAAGATGACACATCACTATGTGCCAATGGTGACTGCTCCAATCTGGAGGGTTCATACATGTGTACTTGCCGAACAGGATATGAATCAACCTCTGACAGCAAACAGTGCATTGGTAATTAAGTGTTCCAGTACAACTTTACATTTGTCTTGTTTCTTTTGTTGGATACAGAATTATTCTTGGATAGAAGTAGGAACTCTTGTATCCTAGAGTGCTTGAAAATATGCCCATCTGATTCTAGTTAGGAGTCTCTGGCTAGTTTTCCTTTTTGGATGTTGAGTCATAATCATAGGAATGCTCATTTAATTTAAGTATTAGATCCACTGATTTCCTGGAACACCTGTGAAAAGACCCGTAGTCCAGGCAAAATGTAAGAAAGCAGAACAGATTGTAGTATGACACCACTAATGCTTGTAATGACTCTGTAGTATAGTATGACACTGTGGTGTATCTGTGGTGTATAGCACATCCAGTGGTTAGCTTAATGAGTACAGCAGTTAGAAGTATGCAACGTAGGTACAGTACACCTTACAGAGTGCATTGGTTAGAAATATGGGTGTATGCACACTAATGATCATGAATGATCAGTAGGAAAAAATACACTGTATGTTTGTAATCAGTGGTAAAGTTATCCCTTACATTGGTGGTCATTGATGAAGTTAGTATGTTAGTAGTCAGTGTCATGCCCCCTTACAATGGTGGTCAGTGGTGAGGTCCCCTCCTACATTGGAGTCAGCTGTATGTACCCCCTTTCATTAGTGTTCAGTGTTCCCTTTCTCTGGTAATATCTCCCATACATGGTCTGTGATAATTGCCACCTTTGTTAGTGTCCAGTAATAAGGGCTGCTTATGTTGCTTGTCATCGATAAGTGTTCTCCTACCATGGTGGTCAGAAGTAATAATTTTTTGTCTTCTTCTGCTAGTGGCTAGTGGTGCCCCATTTTGTTGGTGGTAAGTAGTTACTACTGATCATATTTGATGGTCTGTGGTATATTGCCTCTTACATTGTGGTTAGTAGAGCTTAGCAATAATTGATGTCAGTGCCAAGGAAATGTCCTACAGGTCCCTTGCCGCTGGTTCCCAGCAACACCCAGTTCACTTTACCCGGTGTTTTCTGCATAGTTGGGTATAGCTAGTTACAGAGAACAATGCAGAAGTGAAGGCAGCTAATTAAATATATAAATCAGGGACTTTTGAAAGAATACATATATAAATTAGTTTAAATTAAGCCATACTTACAACATACCACATCGTTTGTTAGCAAATAATTACTATAAGACCCCTTTCACACAGGTGGTCCGATCAGATCCAGCTGTCAGTTTTTTAGGTGGATCTGATAAGAAACCCAATGTAACTCTATGGGCAGCTGGATGTAAATGGACATGCCTTTACATACCTCCAAGTCTGCCTAGGTCAGTTTTTGTGGACACGAATAGGACAGATCAGAGGTAATGGGATGCAAATGTGGACATCCACGTGCATCCAACTCGCCATAGACCTAACATGGATCTGGTTAATTCAGCTCATTTTTTACATCTGTTCCGTAATGCTCCAATCAGCAGGGGGATCTGCGCATGGTTCCCCTGCTGATTGGAGTGGACATGCGCCTGTGTTTAAAGGGGCCTTAGGGTACTTAACACTGACTTCCCTAAAGTCATTTTCTGCTCAGTATGAAAACACCAGTATCTCAGGAGTAAAACCATAAGTTGTAAAACAAATATTGTGTCATTGGTGGTCATTACATTAAAGAACAGGTAATGGCTGAAATGTTGCAGTGTGTCTGCACATTTATCCAATGGTGGTGTGCCAAAGATTATGCAGTTTATGTTTATGCAGTGGTTTACATATATAAAATATATGGTACACATGCTTATGGGAACTTTTGGAACAGTTGTCAGATGAAATGTTCTAGATTTTCAGCAGACAAAAGAGAAAATGATTCATGAACCATAAAATATGCAGGGGTGCAATACAGTTCTCTATTTGATAAAGGTAAATTGTTGAGCCTAAATTTGTCTACAAACAAAGACAAGTGCATGTTCTTGTGTAGAGTACTAGGAATTCTTTAGGAGTGCTGTAACTTGACTCATTTTGTTTGTTACAGATATAGATGAATGTCAGCTTGGTAATTTATGCTTGAATGGTAAATGTCATAACATTGAAGGTTCCTTCATATGCTCCTGCAACTCAGGATATCAGTTAAGCCCATCCAGCGACAAGTGTGACGGTATGTATAATTTACCCAAATTTTTCTTTGCTTTAATGTCTTCAGCTGTCACACCTGTAAACCTATTATTGACCAGAGCAATTTTTACATTTCTGTTATGGGCCTGTTGATTCGGCAATAACTTAATCATTGCTCAAAGTGTTCCATGTTTGCCGTCAGATCTGAGAATATATGCTTCTTACGTTTTCCCATTCATGCAGCATAGCTGGAAAATATGTTTTAAAATGTTTCTTACCTTTTTCTGTCTTGAGATGCCAATTAGGAATTTTTTTTTAGAAAAAATCATTTATAAAGGTAAGCAGGATTTTTTTTTTTTTTTTTTATTTAAAATGTGCTATGTGAATGGGAATATGTAAAAAATATATAGTAGGTTTTACCCCTAGGGTAAAAAAAGGGTACTGTAGATAAAAATAATAAACGTTATTTTATAATTTGTCCAGTTTAAAATTACATTATTTTCCAATTGTGTGCTTTTTTAATGCAACACTAAAAAACAAGAATGAACAAAATTTTATAAAAAGAAAACAAGTTCATGTATTAATGTTTTTTTATTTCAAAAATTGAAATGAAATGAAAAAAATTAAATCATCAGGAAAAAAGACGTTTATGGAAGAAGGGGAAAAGGGATTTAATTAGGGATGATTAGGGAAAGCTAAGAAATAACATAGGAGTAACATAGGAACAAATTTTATATAAAACATTTTTTTAGTTTTTGGTTTTCAGGTTGCTTTAAAGGAGAACTATGGGGTCAGTGTTTTTCCCCATAGTTCTCCTTAGGGTAACGGGAGGACACAAACTAGCGTCCTCCCGTTACCCTAAGCTCAGTATACCGCGAGCTACAGCTCGCGGTATACTGAGACGCCGCAGCCTGGGCGGATCCTGACCTCGACGTCGAGATCCGCGTGGAAGCTGCGTGACAGCTGGCTCTGCCTATCCAGAGGCAGAGCCAGCTGTCACGCAGCTTCCACGCGGATCTCGACGTCGAGGTCAGGATCCGCCCAGGCTGCGGCGTCTCAGTATACCGCGAGCTACAGCTCGCGGTATACTGAGCTTAGGGTAACGGGAGGACACAAACGAGCGTCCTCCCGTTACCCTAAGGAGAACTATGGGGTCAGTGTTTTTCCCCATAGTTCTCCTTTAACTAACAACATATGCAGATTGAAACTCATCCATTTGATCTGCAGATGAATGAAACAGGATAGATACAAAAACAACAATGTTACTTTGTATTGCTAATCCCTTGTCTGAACAGTGTTTATAAACATCTCAAATGTGTATTATGATATCAGCATCTATTTTAGCTGCTGTATTTACACAGCAACTACCAGCTGTATAAAGACGCAAATTGCCGGCAAAAGCAAGGGGACAGAAGGGCAGGGGGCACTACACATGCCCTTTGTACCTTTACAAAGTTTAAATCTGGTTCACCTAGTTACAGTATGATATAGATCATGCAACTGCTATTCTTATTTTTTAATTCTTATATTTATCCATGACCCTTGTATTTACTGAAATACTCAGTGCTTGCCTGAAAAAATGAATAAAACGCTTTAAAAACATTATAGTATTGTTCATAATAACATAAATCTTCAAGCCTGTAGGTGAACTGTCTAATATTGTCTATTACAGAGCAGGCTTATATACTGTAGTATAGCTTCTAACATAACTAGCATGGTTTTCATCAGAATATGGTGTTAATTTTAATACTTATTTATTCCTGGTTATTATTAAGTTATTTCTAAATGATCAAATTATAAAGGTTATGTGTACAAGAAATAACAATTTAGATGTTTAGAATAAATGTTTATTTAGTTAGTATCCAATTGCCTTTGGAATCAGGAAGGATTTTTCCTTATTATTGCAATTTGACTACGCTTTTTCTTTTTACTTTCTTGGATCAAGTGTTTAGTGTTCTGATGATTTACTTTTTATTTAATTTCCGGTTGAATTTATGTACATGCAAACTAAATAGCAATCTAGCTATGGGAATCTGTCTTTATTGCATTGGAGAAAAAATAAATTAAAAATAAAATAAAAATATGTGTAT